TGACCTCAAATGACATAGCACCTCTGAGATACACCCTAAGATGAACAAACCAAAACAAAAAATTACAGAAAATGTTGAACATCACATCAGATCCAGCATGTATCAGACGGGGGAATCAACTGACAATATTTTAACTGTTCAAGTCAGATGTATGTTTTAGATATTTTCTACTCTTCTCTCCAATGCACTCCATTTAGGAGCCACTTTCCTCCCATCCCTCAATTGTGGAGAGAGACGCAAAGAAATTTATAAATATAACGCGATTCTGATCCAGATCCAACATTATTCTTTATCCAAAATTGAAAAACTAATGACCACCTGTGTTTGGAAAGGAATGAAAGCCAGGGTCAGTGAAGCACTGTTCGGAAGAAGAGCAAAGTAGACGGTACTCACCAATCTCAAGTGCTAGGTGCAGTCACAGTAGCGTAAACAGCACGGAAGTAGAGCACTGACAGACACACAGACAAATGGAGCAGAATAGGGTTCCCAGAAAGAAATATGTGCACCCACAGACAACTGATTTATGACAAATGGTCAGGTGTCTTGGCCCACAATCTTTCTACTGCCACATACTGAATTTTTGTCAATCTATAATGCAATACAATAAACATTTTCTTCATAAATACCTTTATCAAAGAAAAACATTTGAAGAGCAAAGACCTTGTTCTCCTCTTTTCCTTATTACTCATTGGAAGTGGCAGAAATGAGAAGATTCTTTGGAATTATGCTGGAAGAGATTTATCTAGTTCTCTTCACTAGTAGTTGTGCAGCAAAATTAGAAGGAATTTGGTATAATCTTTATCAGCTAAAGAAAGCTCAAGTACCTATGTGGACTTATAAGGCAAACAAAGATTTGAAAATCAGACTGAAATGCTCTAGTGGTCAGAAGCAGACAAGCAGTTAATCCCAAGAAACATGGAATGAATTGATTTGCCAGCTGCTGAAAATTTTGGACTCTGTTTATTAACTGTTGGTATTTTATGTTTGGACTTTTTTATACCCTTTTAGAATTATATAATGGTGGTAACTTTTCTAATCACTGAATACCTTTAACCCTAACTCAATAAATTAAGTCTTTTATTCCTTATGCAAAAAACTGAATTTGTTGCACTCTGGTTAATACTTATATCTTTTAAAATTAATTTTATTTGACCAACTTAGACAAATCTCCTGGTTAGTTACAAAAAGAGGGATATGCTTAATACCCATTATTTTCTTCCTATTATAGTATTTTAGTTAACCATTCTCCATTATAACATTTTTATAACTATTCCTTTATTTTTTATTAACCATCACTGATGCTTGGAACAAAATTACTTTTATTGTATTAACACAATAAGTAGTTAGAAATTTGACTGAATTCTGACCATGCCACCCTTCCCTTCAGCCCCCGTGAGGCCATATTGAAACTTTCATTATACTAGTTCTAGAAAATAAAATAGCCCTTGATTTCCTCTTTGCTCAACAAGCAGGAGTTTGTGCTGTTGCCAACCCCTCTCCTTATTGATGGATGCAGACTTGTGGAGAAGTAGAACAACACATCACTAAAACACATCAAAAGGCCTCCTGGCTGCATACTGTTCCCCATGACCCTGCTTTTATTGATATTTTGAGTTGGTTACCTCAAAATATCAAGTGGAATGCTATTTTATATTAACCAGCCTACTCTTCTTAAGTGATATGACAAAATATTAATTTATAAATTATCAAGAGTTCATGAGGAAGTGGGGAAGAATGAGGAGCTG